GGCTTCCGAATGGCAGATTCCACTTTTTCATACGTTTTCTCAATTTTGTGGAAAACAAAAATCTTTAATTGTCTTTGGTGGGACTTAATAACAAATAGAAGGGAGAATTTGTTAAAATAAAAAAGAGAGTTTTAATTTAAGCCAAAAAATAAGGTGGTAAAAAATAGCGGGGGGGGGGGGGGGAAATCAATCCATTCACTTCAAGCAGAGAAACAGGAAACGTTGCAATCACTTCAATCCACAAAGTATTGTTACAAGAAAGAACAAAAACTTTCCAAGGCAGTTCAATAAGAATTAAATTCACTGCTTTATTCTTTTACTTAAAGGATTAATTTATCTTTTTTTTAAAAAAAAGTTTCTTTGGGCAATCTTTCTCAGAGTAAAAAAAACCCTCACCCGATGGACTCACTTTCACTTCCTTCCTTCCGGAGTCATCTCCGACTTTGTCAGCCTGGGGGCTGCCTGTTTGCCGCCGGCTTAAAGTGCTTCCCTTGGGTCCATCAGGGACTTTGCGGTGTCCCTGAGGCTAACAAGGCTTTGTCTTCCTGATCACCGTCTCTCCGGGATGGTTTAGGTCCTACTGGACCATCCAGTGGCAAAAGTGTCAATGGCGGTCTCGGACTGTCGAGACTGAACATTTTGTTGTCGTGACTTTGGTTCCTCTTCTATTTTAATCAGAATTCTTAATAAAAAGGTTATTTGTGCAGGAGTAAAATCAAATACCACAATTTGAAGGTTAAAATGGAAATAAAATTATCTATGCTTGATTGTTTTTCCTTAAAATTCCTAAAAAATATATTTTATACATTACTTGTGTCTAATATTGTACGGAATGTCTTCTCTGTGTTTCAAAAATATTAATGTTTAATTCACAACTCATGTTAGTTGTAGGGTATTTTTTGTCCCAATATTTTCCTTCAATTTATAGCAGCCAATAAGACCAATGCTTTAATTTGGAAATATAGCAGTAGAGGCTAATGAATCTTTTGACTTCCTGCAGTTTTTTACCTATTTTTTTTCTCCAATGTGCTTTAAAAACAGCAAAAAAATTATGTGCTTCTATGGAGAAATATTAAAACATGACTATGAGCTAAGTTACTGCCAATAAGAATCCAAACCCAGAAAAGTCACAAAAAAGCTCTTATTCTTTTGGTCTGGAACCGTTTGCCAAATTCATGTACATATTTTCTGTAACCTGCCAAATCAGAATCTGCTCCTTTAAAATCAAGTACTTGCAAGAATTCAAAACATATTGAATGACATATTGTATATGGAACTGCATAAAAGTAACAGTTTGTTACAGCTCATGGGAGCCTCAGATCTCAGTTCGAAATTGCAGTGTTGTATCTGCCATTGTCTTCTTATAGTTCTCATCAAATGCCTCATTCTGAGCCACTGTAAAGTGATTCTTCCAATCTCCAACAATTCCTAAAATGCAAATAATACAAGTCAAACACATATAGAGAATGAAGCATATATTGTATATAGTGAAATATTGCCTCTGTTCCAACATTATCAGCTGAAAATGAGTTATAAAAGAATAACAATTCTCCAAAAAATGGCATGTCTGTGTTTAGAAATTAAGAAAATGATCAGAGAGGTCATGCAACCTCTTACCCTTGCGCATGAACGGAGAGATACTATGATCCAATACAGCAGCTGGAGCCATCCTGTAGTTTGTCATAGGATTGTCCTTCATCACATCAAAAGATGTATGATAAACAATATTATCTATAACTGATTCATCAAGATTCTTTCCCAAGAAATGTATGATTTTCTTAATCTCATTCTTTGGATCCTAAGGAAAATCATATTAAAATTATATTCCTTTTGCTACACATTACCTTTCATAAAGTTTTGCTGCACACATGAAAGTTCTTAGAGGATAAAATAAACCTGCAGGAAATGTTTGACTTACAATTGGGACAGGCATCTGTTGATTCCCTCTCATTTCTGGAGGTGGATGAATGAGAGCCTGTCCCTGCTTGGATTTCAGCAATCCAAGTGATCACAAAACTGAAATCCTTAGATATGCAGCTCTTTCAACTTACAACAATTCATTTAGTGACTATTCAAAGTTACAACGGCATTGAAAAAAGTGACTTATGACCATTTTTCATACTTATGACCATTGCAGCATCCCTATAGTCACAAGATTAAAAGTCAGATACTTAGCAACTGACTCATATTTATGACAGTTGCAGTGTCCCATGGTCATGTGATCCGCTTTTGTGACCTGACAAGCAAAGTCAATAGGGAAGTCAGATTCACTTAACAAATGTATTACTAACTTAACAAATGCAATGCTTCACAACCATTATGGCAAGAAAAGTTGTAAAATGAGGCAAACTCACTTAACAAATGTTTCACTTAGTAACATAAATTTTGAGCTCAATTGTGGTCATAACTCACAACTAACAACTTTTCTGGCCAGCTTCCCCTGTGACCTGCTTGCAGGAGCCAGCACAGAAGATTGGAAATGGTAATCACATGCTTGCAGGGTATTTGGCAACTGGTCTTAAGTACAAACAGGTTCACAAGCATCCAGATTGCAATTACATGACTATGGTGAGATGAGGGTGGAATGTTTTGTGAAAGAAGGACTTACAGATTGCAAAGCACCTTTTCTGAGACCTTTTTTTTAAATTTGAACCATTGTTAAGCAAATTGTTATAATTAAAATACTACCTATAATCCTTTGTATTGCATTAAAGAGTCCCAATATCGGACTCAAAAAAAGTTTCTTAAAATATTATACATAAAGGTTAAACTATTTTTCTTCTATGCCATTTCTGCCCTAATATCCTATATGAGGTCCATATGGCCCTGACCCTACTGGGCTTCAGGAAGCATTGGGAATTGGCTCTAAGCCTTATGTATAGTTCTGGTAAGCAATAGCAATGGTTCAATCTGATTCCTTCCAGAATGGTTGCTTTTTAAAAAGTTTTCAAATTGTTTTAACTCTCCATAAGCTACCCAGAGTTATCAATAAGTGGGCTACATTGATTAAATAAATAAATCCATCCTTACCACCCAGTCATATGGTCGATGAGATGCATATACATTTAATAAATAAATAAATAAATAAATATTTGAATGGTACTTATTCTATTACCTCTTTCATGTCTTCATAAAACAAGTACAATATGGAATGATCATTTCTCTTATTCCACCAGCTTTTTACATGATTGTACCAGGAGCCAAAGATCATTGCTTATAAAAAAGAGAGAGAGAGAAGCAGTTATAAGTTTAAGGATTTCATTAGAGCTATGAAATCAGTGTTTTAAATCACCCCGCAAGCACAAGCACACTAGAAATATTTAGGCAACTCACATGAGTCTTAGCCTCAATTCCATCTGGAATTTGCCAACAATAATGTGGCCTATATGAGACAATATGCATAACGAACACTTTAAATTTTTCTAAATTGTAAATGTTTATAGTAATCTCACATTTATTTTACCCTGCAAGTATAGCTGACATTCAGTGGGGTATCAACTGTTAAGCAGACCAAGCACGTGCTGAGGGCACCAGGCCCAAGGGGGCACCACAAAGTTGAAAAAGAAAAAAAACACCAAGATTTGTACTCTGGAGTCAGATCTACCAGACAGAGGCACAATCCCCAGCAAAAAAGGGGGGGGGGAATCCAAGGGGAAATTCTCCAAGAAGAATGAGGATAGGCGCCAGAGGGCCCTGGACAAGCAGTTCGAAAGAGAGGCAGCCAAGAGGGCAGCAGAACAATTATTACAGGTCTCCACTAGCCGTCAGATTGATCATAGTCCCTCTCCCAATGGAGGAATTGTCCCCAGACAGTGAGGGATATGAAGTAGAGGCTGCAGAGGAAGACAGCCAAGAAACCAGAGCTTCCCTATCACCCAGGCCTCCCATTGCTTACCTGGCTTAGCAGCCGCCTGACACGGCTTCCATCATTTCGGAGATAATTAAACAGGGCATTGCTGCAGGGCTCCGAGAGCAAAGGTCTTCCTCATCTTCCAGCCACAGCAGACAAAACAAACACAAGGAAGCCAGACATCCTACTGTAACACCAAACACATTGGACAAACAACTTTCCAGGTCCCCGAGCAGCTCCTCTTCTTCTTCTGAGGATGAGGATATGTATAGATATTCAGAGCTCTCTGCAGAGGAGGGTTCCAATCAGTCCACCACGGGGAACCTGTTTCGTCCTTCCATGTTTACCTCTCTCCTTTTGAAAGCACAGAAAGTGGCTGAGCTGGAGTCGGCTCAGGCTGCCCAGGCAGGTCCTTCCATCCTGGTGACTTCCACCGGCCTAATGTTTTCTGAACCAGTGGGCCAGATGGTGATTCCTTCTCCTAAACTGTTTCTGGATATTGTCCAGCAGCAATGGACCTCTCCAAGGTCAGGCCCCTTCCCAACCTCTCAAGACAAGAGGTTCTTTAATGTGGGTCCTGAATTAACTAAGCTACTTGAAATTCCATCCAGAGATGCTGCAGTAGCGGCCCTCTCCTCTCCGACGGTGGTTCCCAGCATCCCTGAGGAAGCGCTGAAACCCGAGGACAGGAGGTCTGAGCACATCATAGTCAAGGGCCATCAATTGGCCGCCTAGGCAGTCAAGGCCTCAACGGCTTCTTCCTTCTTCGATAGAGCTGCCCTCCTCTGGTTAACACAACTGTAGGAGCGGCTCCCTAAATCTGATTCCAGGGAACATCAAGACCTTAACAAAATTAAGGTGGCCCTGCAGTTTTCGGCCGAAGCTTCCTTGTGCGTGGCTAGATTTGCTTCTAAAGCCATAGCTTCCCCTATTTCAGCCAGGAGGATGATTTGGCTTAGACAGTGTCACAGGACACTAAGCACAAATGACGCCTAGCCTCCCATTTGCTGGAGATAAGCTCTTTGGGGCTTCTTTAGAACCCATGCTAATAGAGTCTAAGGACAATTCCATAAGTCACAGTCCAGGGCCTCTCCCTACCAATATAGGCTGCCCTTTAGAGGCTCAGATAGGGGATACAGATTCTCTCGTCCAGCTCTCCAATATTCCGGTAGACAGAGTCAACACCAGGACAGGTCAGGCAGAGGAGGGTAACATTATCAGCCCAAATGGCCCTACCAAGGGACAGGCTCCAATCGGCCCTTCCACCATCAAAAATGACTGCTAGGACAACCTTTCCATCGGTGGCCAATTAGCCTTCTTTGCCGACCGGTGGGAGGTGGTCACAATGGATGCCTGGGTCGGGGAGACAGTGAAACATGGCTTCTCCCTAGAATTTTTCTCCTACCCCTGAGGCGTTTCCTCCTCCGTCCCATGTCACAGAACCGAGAAAAGAGACACCTCATGGACTAGGCCATCCAGCACCTGCTGGAATCCAGGCCATTCAACTGGTCCTGGAGGATCCGTGGGGACAGGGGTTTTACTCCCTTCTGTTCAACCCTTTCGCCTTTCCTCAGCTCTGAGGGTATTTACCAAGGTCCCGTCGGCACTCACGGCCCATCTGCGAGCTCATCTGATCAGGATCTTGTGTTACCTGGATGACATCCTGGCCAAACTACACAGGACCTAGAGGTAATACTCCAGACCCTGAGGGAGTATGGCTTCTCCATCAACCTGGAGGAAAGCCTAATCCTAATCACTTGGCTGCTCCATTTAGGAGCAGTAATAGACAAAGTTCAGGGCAGGGTCTATCTATCCAGGGAATGCCAGGTCAGTCTATTGAATCTAGCCCAGCAGGCCAGGGCGCATCATCGAGCCCAGCTGATTGTCCTCTCTCAGCTCCTGGGCAAGATGGTGTCTTGCTTTTCCATAGTCTCATGAGCCAGACTCCACAGCAGGCCTCTCCAATTACTCCTGCTGCCACACCAAAAAGACGACACCAATTGCTCAACCTGGTCAATTCGCATTCCCCCAGAAGTTCTAAAGTCCCTAGCGTGATGGGACTCTCCAGTCCTAAAACAGGGAACTTGTAAAGCATTTCCATGACTATTATCAAGTTGACATTGAAGGGAGGGAGAATTCCATGCATACCTTTGGCCAAAGTTGGATCTCATATTTCTACAGCAGGCGTGTGAGGCATGAAAGTTCATAACCTGTTGCAGCACCTCGTTGGTGGATGTGATTTATGACACAGATTGAGGGGAGGGGAGACACAGGGTAAAGTTCAGACGTCATTAAACAGAAATCAGATTTGGCTCCGCAGAAGAAGAAAATGCCAAAATGTTGCTCCTAATAAATGACTGGATTTCTTTTCAACTTTGTCCCGATTCTTGTAATTTACTTAGGGCATCTTTTGGAAACTTCACCGAGAGCCAAATCTGACTTTTAAAATCTATCAAGATTTCTGGGTTTCCTGACTCCTGGGCTCTTCAATCACTTGCTGATATTTGGGGTGCTTGGAGGGAAAATCAGGCAACCATGGCAGAAGGCAGATTATCGGAAGAAAGCCTGATTTCAGCCGGAGGAGTTCAGCCAGCTCCAGACATCAAAGCTCCCGACATCAAAGCTGCGATGCCTTTCCCAGTGGCAGAAGCAAGAAAGGATGAGTACTGGTGAAAATTAGCCCTTATGGCAGCTGAAGTTGAGTTCCCTTACCCCAATTCCCAGATAAAGGGAAGGGTCTTGAGCAGTGGTAGGTTTAAAAAAAAATCAGAATCTATTCTGTAGGTGTGGCCTGTTTTGTGGGAGTGGCTTGAAAGTCATGTGACCAGGTGGGAGTTTGCTTGGCAGTCATGTGACCAGGTGGGAGTTGCCACCTTGATGTCACCAGGAGATGTCATGGATTGGGTAAAATGTGGTGAAGCTCACTTAACAATGCTCTTGCTTAGCAACCAAAATTTTGGGCTCAATTGTAGTCATATGTCAAAGACTATCTCTGCCTTCCTCTGCATGGCAACCTTGTCCTAGTAAACTCCTTCTCCTTTCTGGCAATTTTCCTCTCTGTTAGAGGCACCAAAATACACACACAAACACACACACACAAACATTAGTTGGATTGGATTATCTCTCCTACCCCTTTCCCTCTTTCCCTCTCTTTCTCAAACACACACACACACACACACACACACACAAAAGTTGGAATGGCTTGAAAGCAGCTCCTCTGCCATTCCCCCCCCCCCCATTCCCCTGCTGCCTTCCCCAAACACCTTCCATTGCAAATGCAGCATGCTGCCTGGGTGGCAAATGCCTGGAATGCAATAAAGCCCATTGATTCACCTCCTGCTGGCAGGCTGGGGTGAGAGTAGAGGCAGAGAAGCTGGAGGGGAGCCAATCCGAGCCTTCCAAAAGAACAGGGCTGGGGGAAAGTGTGTGTGCTACAGCATGGCTCTTTGCCCAGCTTCCAGCCTTCTCCTGTGGTCTCCTCAGTGCTTGCTTGTACTCTCTCTCCCCAAGTGTAGTTTGATTGTAGGGTGAGCCACGTTGCCTTTTAAAACCTGTAATCAGTGAAGCTGGGCTGGATTTTTGCATAGCTTTATCCAGCTGTGGTGTGTGTGTGAGACAGAAATGAATGGGGGCCTAGGGAGTAAGTCATTCCCCCTCCCCCAACAACTGGATAAAGCTATGCAAAAATCCACCCCAGCTTCACTGATTACAGGTTGAAAAGGCAACATGGCTCCGCCTGCAATCAAACTACACTTGGGGAGGAAGAGCACGAGCCAGCACTGAGGAAACCACAGGAGGAGGCAGGAAGCCAGGCAAATGGGGGCAGGGCAGCATACTAATATGGAGGTGTGGCCATGCCACCATGGAATGGGTACGCAAAAGTACGGCACTGGTACACCCGTAGTAGTGAGTACCAGCCGGAACCCACTTCTGGTCTTGAGCGAGCTGGCAAGGGTGGACTGGATGTGTGACTGGGCACAAGCCAGGCTCCCAAAGCCCCAGATGGAATCCTTGGGGAGTGCAATAGAGCAGCTGAGGGAGGATTTTGACCAGACCACCCTTCATTACGAGGGGCCACCATGCTGCCAAAAAGAGAGGGGAGGGACATCTGATCTTGTTGAAGGGAGGAGATGCAGACTGGAGCGCAGCCCCCCTTCCCCTCCCAATAGAAGGAGAAGGAGCCCAAAACTGCAACCAGTGTCTCTCCCACGCAGCAGGCAGACTGCCCAGGGAAGGCAACCCCAGCCCTCTCTCTGAACTAGAGGTGAGGAAGATGCCAGCCATATCAGGCGCAAGCATACAGAGGCTGACAGGAGGTTGGAGGGCTGAATAACCCATCCCAATTCAGGAGAAAGTTTGACAG